TTGGGCAGGCTCGGCGTGATGAGCTGCGGCATAGCCAGCCTGTGCTGCGCGGTTCTGCTGATCGCCAGGTGCTTCCGAGTATGCTCCTAGGGGCTCCTGGTGTTCGGCGGGATTGCCATACACAGGACCTGTTGGAACAGATTTCTCTGGGGGCGGCTGTGGTATAGATTGAGGAGGGGCCTCATTCTTGCGCGATTCTTCGGGAAAAGTAGTGCGTGCTTGTTTGCCTGGCACCAAGTTCAGTTAGTTGACTACATTGGGTACTTTTTCAAGAAAAAAAACTGCAGCTGCACAGTATCAAATCAAAAGAAGAGACTTTGGGAAAGATGATGAGTTTGGTCATACCATGGCGAATGAAGTTCTTGAGCTGTTGAATCGTAGACATGGTTGAATAGAGGCGCCGCTGACGAGCGACGGCGCGGTGAAAGGAACAAGTTAGAGCCAGCGGACGATTGATTCTATGCTGCGCAATTGAAATGTTCCTTCTTCAGTACTCTTGTAATTTGGCGAATAGAGAAGAAAAAATGATGAGAAATAGACAAGCTCAGCGTGTTTGGCCGAAGGTCAGATTATGAGATGAATGGGGGAAAACTGTAGCAGTGTCTGATAGCGAGAAATGGCCCAACGTGGGTTCTGCGCGGATGGTGTGCGATGATGCGGGGTTTTAAAATGAGTTTGCAAGCAAGCAAAACGTGGTGGTACTTTTTTGCCTGGGTTTTTCCCCTTTCTAGGCTGACAGATGCTCTATGACGGAGAGGCGAAGCTGGGTCGAAGCAGACGGGCAAAGCGATTTGAAATGGTGAACAGGAGAGAATTTGCTCGCTGGCCAAGGTGGAAGAAATGATGAGATGAGAGAAGGATGAGAAGAAGAAGAGGAAAGAGAATTGCTCCAGCGGATGGGAAGAAGGTGGTGTAGGGACTTATTAGTGACTGACTGGATGGTTCCAGCACGGTAAATCCAAGTGGGTGGAAGTGACGTGCGGCTGCTGCGCCTGCAAGAGGCTAGCAGACAGCAGCTAAACAGGACCTGGTAGTGGGTATGTAATGCTTAGGTTGTGCTAGAATTTTTTTTTTTTAGTGCTGGTGCTGGTGCTTGTTTCTCGGCAGCTGTTGTTGCAGAAGACTTGGCAGCTAAACAGAGCGGGCCATCGAGGGGGGACTGACAAGAAGAGAAGAAAAGAGAGGGAGAAGAGGGCGTGATTGGAGACGAGGCTGGGGCATGGCATCTTTAAATTGAATTATCATTATATTTTATTCTATTTAGTATTCTGACGCGAGTTGAGCTTCGCCTTGCTGCCTACTTGCTCTACATGTACCGTCATGCGCATCCATGTACTAGGCAAGTACTACAAAAATTGGGTGTTGATGACGCACCCAACCCAACAGCAACGGCTGTTTCATCACCCAATTTTACATGGACTTGCTTGGCCTGCGGGACAGTGCCATGGAATGAACGTACATGTCCCAAGACCTGCAAATGCACGACGCGTAGATGGAAGAGGCCAGAAGGCACAAGTCAAGTCGAGCCGGGTCACATTCCACGTCCCATCTGCAGGTGAAAAACAAGATCAGTACGACACGAAGCAAATGCAGTTGGTACCTGTGCCGGGCGGTAATCTTGCTTACAGGTAGACTAGACACTCACTAGTCTACCTGTAGCCTGCTACTCATCAATGATCAAATACTACTCCACGGGCTACCTAGCAAGCCTGGTAGGTAGATGTAAGTGCCTAGACCTGCCTGGACCTGGCCAGCCCCGTTCATTCAGCAGGATATTCTGGCCCTCAGGCATTGGGCAACGCTACGGACACGGGTCGAGACCGCAGAGGGCTTGCAGGGTGCAGCAGAACGTGCAGATTCAACCGCAGGGCGGATTCGAGACTACGGAGTACTCCGTACCTTGGTAGTCTGTACGGCAGTCTGGTACGGTACGGTGCGGTACGGGACAGCAGGAGGATTCAATGTTTATGGACATCCATGGTTTGATTTGCAATGCCGGTGGCGAGGTGCAGTCAGCCGCCAAAAGGAGCACCACCGCGGCGTGTCATGCATCGAATCCAAGTGAAGTCTCGGTCGACACGGGCGGATGCTTTCTCGACACCTGATCCGACGTGTCCATTTTGCTCCGTTCTGTCCCGTGAGGACAAGTATCTACGAGTATGTGCCTGATGCTTTGCCAGCCTCCTCCATCTGCCGCCTGCAAGCAGAGCCAAAGCAAGGAACCCGCCGTCTGGTGTCAATTACCAGGGAAACTAACTCTTCGTCTCCTCTGCGTCTGATACATCAGCATACTGTAGACGCGCATATACATAATGTACACATGTATATGACCCATGCCAAGGCACTGGGCAGAAAGCAAATCTGCCAGCATGGAGCACAAATACCACCGTAACCAAGTATCGCTCCATCACGATCTCAGCCAGCTACAAGCTATCTTCTGCTAGCAGGTACTTAGGAGGGGAGGCACATGCAGCAGGTGCCAGGGCGGTTTTGGCGGGGCCGCGGTTTTGATCCGCGATTATGACGCCGCAATCGACGTCATCTCTATTTCTCTATTTCTCGTGCGGCGCCACGCGACCAATAGCGCCGGCGCCGTGCCCGAGAGACATTGAAGGCGGGCATCAAGTACATTTGCCTTGCTTCTGTATCGCCTCTGCAGGGCTGTGACATGTCTCGGCTACTCGGTTTTTTATTTTACTTTTGGTGCCTGAGACGATTCAAGCTGAAGCAACTTGCAGGACTCGGCTGGAATGGGATGGGATGGCATAAAGATCATGGGAGAGACGAGCGTGAATCGCTTCATTGCGGATCTGCTCGTTTTTGGATTGATGCCATCTCCGGATTCACTTGGGAATCGTGCACCCACTTGATCAAGCTTCCTTGGCTCGGGTATGGATATGCACACCTGTCGATCCTCTCGCTTACGTTACGTATGCATCATGGCAGAGCTTGTTGAACAAATGAGCGAAATAGGAAACCAAAAATAACAAAAGAAAACTATATTCCCTACAAACCTGGGGAATATGGTACCTATCTACAACTCTCCAGGATTGCCTTCATTGTCCACTCAAGCGTTAGGCTACCTACGTCACAGTGGAGCTCGAATCGTAGCCGCGTACCTGATTGATGATTGATAATTGCATGAACTCATGAAGGCATCACGGATGTAGCATGGGCAACAAAGGTTCAGCTTGATACAATTAACCTCTAAATTAGATTATTGCGTTCATACGTACCAACTAGGTAGGTAGATATGTTCTATTTGTAGCTGTGGTCACCACATTCACCGGTATGGTCACATCGGGCTGATTCTATTCACGTCGTTTCTAGATATATGACCATGACGTTGCCATGGCCCTCTAGTTTAGTCCAAACCAACATCTTTTCTAGAGCCACGGAAGAACCATTGCTTCAACACCATGGCACCCTAGGACTGCGTCTTTGTTCTAGAATTTTGCAACTTAATCGAGTCATTTTAGGCCGTTGGAGAAGGTTGTACATGACATCAGTATGCGAATGCAGACTTCCTGCGCACTCCGTGAGTTGAGAACTCTCCACGTCATTGCTCCCCAGATGGACCGCGCGGCTACTATCTCCGGTAATCTTCACCTAAGAGAAGAGAGGCTGTGGTGCGCAACGACGCCTCAATGCGGGTGCAAAGCCGATCGCACACCTGAAAGATATAGTGTGATGTGTCTGAGCATGTACACAAGGTGAAAGGTGAGACATGCTGTTTGATGTTGAAAGTTAAGCCCATAGTTGGCCAGAATCTCTCCGGGAGGTAAGTCTATGCTATCATTTGCCACAGGGGATCTACAAGAAGCATCATTCCGAGGGGTCGAGGCGGGTAGGCGGGACATGTTCCCGGCTCCAAGCCTCGATGCCAGTGATCGAACTTACTGTCAATGGATGGTGCGCTGCGACATGCATCTGGCACCGGAGCATCTGGGCCGGTGGCGGGCCATTTATAATCACTGAAGCTAGAATCGATATATGGCATCTGAGATACTGCAGTTGATGATTGGCTGCGGCTCTTACAAGTCTCCTATATGAGTAGTATCCGATGGACTCGTCAAGATATACACAAGTCGGCCGTAGTAAGCAGGCAGACAAGCATAGAGATTCTGGACCACCACCTTTTTCAAGCACAATACATATATCGAAAGTCGAGTGTATTACACCAATCATGACTCGAATACAGCATGTGAGAGTAAGGGCATCAAGGCGTGTATGTTTCTAAGAGTAACACACATGATTGCTCTGATCGGCTGGACACGATGCAATACATCCATCACCCCATGTCCTAAATAATACGGTAGGTAGGCAAGCGAAGGTCAGAAAAAGCGAGACTAGTAAATGAATAGGTATATACATTTGCATTTAGTAATATGAGCACCTAATTAACTCATCAAGTAGTGCTTTTGCAGGGAAACGCCTATAGTATTCAGCCAGCACCCGAATCTTTTTTTTTATATAAATATAGCAGCAGTTACTAGAGAAATACAGATCTAGTAGCAGTTACTAGAGAAATATAAATATATTAGCAGTCACTGAAGAAATATAGATATAGTAGCAGTTAGTAGGGAAATGTATTCGTAGATATAGCAGCTATTCTATTTGTAGGTACATGATTCAACTCGTGGGTGTTCGAAATCTTCTCGGTCTCGGTTTTTCTGTCCACCGCTTGGTAGGTTATAGAAGCAACTTATTAAATCCTTAGTTAAGAAGTTCATACTATATGGGCTTGTTGTTGCCCTTTGAATTAGACATCAAGAAACCATTCATGCACTTACTTACATCGTGCGTACACCTGTACATCCATGCACACATGGACTTCGATACGTACCGCCATCGAGCAGCCGTAGATACATCCAGTTGATTCGTCGCATTGTATGATACATGATAGGTGCACTCGGAATAATTGACGGTGCGCGAATTCAGCGTTGTATACATGTAGATACCATTTGTCGCTGCCTATTCTAAAAAAAATTCGGAGATCTTGACATGCCACTTCACGATGATGCCCAACATGCCCAATGCGTCAACACAGGACAGTGCGTCAACTCAACAAGATTTGAGCATCAAGGCGCCGGAGAACGTGCCGTCGCAATATCATCACTTTGTTCCACAATTTCTTCTGAAGAATTTTGTTGATGCATGTGTCCCTATTAAAAATGGCTCGGCTACCTCTGCCGGCCGTAGAGCTGGGAAGAAAAGACGCTATAAACCGGATCCTACCGTCAACCGCGTGGACTTGTTCTCTGAAACGCCAGAAGTCATAGAGATACCAGTAAAGAGAATACTTGGCAAGACTGACATGTATCGGGATACAAACAAACCATGTGCAGAGCAGCAGCATGTGGAGATGATGTTCAGCCAAGTCGAGTCAAGGACCAGCAGAATCTTTCGAAATATCACGAAAGCTTTTGATGAAGGTCATCGAGGCATCTGGATTACACGAGACGAAAGGAACCTTGTCAGAAAGTTTCTTTTCCTCATGAAATACCGTGGGCCAACCTTCTACGGGCGTTATAACCACGAGACCGCATCGGAGTACGACGCCAATGATAGAGAGAAGATGCTTGAATACATGCAGAAGAAAGGGTTTGAAAGACCTATCGACGTATGGTTCGATAACATCAAAACCATCATTGAGCTGGATATGGATGATGAGTTGAACTGGATATCAGAACTCCCAGAACGCATGTATCCGGACGATGCGAAGTGGGCCATTATGCATTGCCAGTCCTTTTTCATGGCCATATGCACCCCTTCTAATGCTCAAGATGAGTTCCTTCTTACCGACAACTGCTACCATGTTTCCGAAGGGGCCTTTCAATGCTTCGTCAGCCTGGAGACTGGAGAGTCTAAAGAAGGGGCTTGGACGAACTTCCACGAGTTTGCTCCCATATCTCCGAAGCTAATGATTGTGCTTCGGAACTTCATACTTCCATCGCCAGAGGAAGACTCTCTCCCCGGAGTCAAGGCTGAGAAAGAGATGCTATGGTCTCTGGCAGTAGAGAGGTTCCACGGAAGCGATGTCAATTCCACCCTAGCCGATCTTCCAATCACGAAACCCGACAACAATTATAGCCATAAAACAAAGGGTATTTTACAGTTCCAAGATGAAAATTTTTCTCTGCAGCGTCATCACAAATTTTTCTTCAGCTTTTTCCCCATCGACACACACCATGTCAACAAGATCCACTGTGTGTTCCTGGATAATGCGAGCTCCTGCACCAGCGTGATATTCCGATCCAAGGAGTCTTTTCGCCAAACTCTCGAGTGGTATCTCACGGAGCCTGGTTGGGTCGGAAAGCGTGTCACTTCTCTTCCGGGTGACGGGAGACGCCTCTATTTGCTGAAGCTGGCTGCAGTGTTGAAACAATTGGGCTCCGACAAGGAACCTACTTGGGAAGAAATTGACGTTTCAAAGATAAGAAATGACATCAAGCATCAATTATTACAAAAGGGATTATTTGAGTTGTTTCCTGAACTCCTAGACTGCATTCCAGATGATAACTCAACCAAATTCATGCAGATTTACAATAGTCTAGGTGATTCGATTTTCAAGACCATTTCTACCTTTACTGATGAGAGTTTCAGGTGGATCTAAGCAAACGATTATAAAAGATTTGAGGCAGGTTTACTTGATGATGAGATTGCGGATCAAGATTGATGTGTGGTCGAAGGGGCTGGACGAAACCTTGCGGGAGAGAAATCGCAATCTCCTCATGGACGCATACACTCGACTTCCCTCTCATCGTTTCTGGTTGTACACAAAACACTGGAGAGACACAATTGTACGACGTCCAGGTGACCGGCGCTTCGAGGAGAACGCCCAACCACAGAACGTCAATGACGAAGGACCCGAAGATATAATCGCCAGAGGCAAGTGGACTTTGCTTTCATTTAATATGAATACCTTCTAATAGGCCATAATAGCGCAACATATCATTAAACCTAGCAAGCTGAATATCCTAATGAAAGTTGCCGTTGACAATGACAATAAGTTGAAGAAGAAGCCAGGTTATGAGCTATCATGGAAAATCACAATGGATGAGAATGGCGCCGAGAATTTTAGGATGATTCGGATCCTTGCCTTTAACAGTATGTTCCCTTTGGTCTGAAGCAAGTTATATTCCCGAGGCTGAGCTATCTATAGGTCGTATACAAGAATGCGGTAAGATTTTGATCATAACTTTCCAGGGCCTGTCAGCATTCTGATAAAACACAGGAATCCGAGACATCGAAACACTCGCAACAAAGTGTCGAGAGGCGGTGGTGAACGAACTCGGCTTAAGAAAGGGAGCATCTAACCACCCCCTTTTCACAAAAAGTGAGATTATTGAGCTGTTCACGAGAATGAGGGTACAGCAAAAGTTCCAGAGTACTTTAAGAGGCAGGTTGGAAGCAAATGCGTTGAATGATTTGATGAAGACTTTTTTCGAACTGATATACCCTTGCCCAGCGAAAGTATTATACCTATAGGTAGTTATCACTGGCATTAGCGATTCATAGCAAGCAAACTTCATTATTCTTCTTTCAATCCACCTATACGCTCTCACTCAAGTGATCCACGTCGACCATTATCTCCAAAATCCATGTTGTAACTAACACGAACTTGTCATCTCAGAGCTTGTAGAGTCTAACAGACACGCCCTCTCTCTCTCCATGAGCGATCAAAGCCTTATTCTTACGCCCATAAAAGACTCTCAGTGCAAGACACACTACCACAACGAGCAGCAGAAATCCTGCATTTGTCCAATGACCTGTAGGATAGCCCCTTTTCGCCTCATCCGCCTTGTAAATCCACACGCCCGGGATCTGCCCAAGCCCTCCACCGATGCTCACGTTGATGGCAATTGCCAGTCCCGTGGAGGCGGTGCTGACGACATTCGACGTCAGCCAGCCCAGCATGGGTGGGATGCTGGCAAATGAGCCTGCGGTAGCGAGGATGAGGCCTCCATAGCGAGACTTGTATGAGGTCGCTGGTAGAGCGGCAGAGATTATGAATCCGATGGCGCCGACCAAGGCAGCACCCGCGGCGTGTAGTCCACGGGCATTGAAGTGGTCTGCTGAGATTGCGACGAGGACTTGACAAACTGTTTGAACACCAGCTCCCGTTAGCACATGAAGTTCTATTCCATCGTCACTGAACCCTGTCTGGGAAAAAGACTCACCGTAGGCAACAGCCCAAGGGGGCACAGTCATGAGCTGCGCCTTCAGGTCGACATATCCAAGACCGCTTGTGATAGACGGCGAAAACAGACTAAGACTGGCAAACGGCGGGCTGACGGCAAAGTAAATAAGATAGTGAGCATACAGACGCCAATCAGTGAGCGTGGCTTTGGCATCCTGCCAAGTCATACTAGGATGATGGCCTTTGCTACCCTCGTAAAAGAGACGTTGAACAGCGAGATCCTTTTCCGGCTCGGATAGCCAGGTGGCACTTTCTGGGTAGTCGGGCAAGAAGAAGAAGACGAGAAATGCGGACAAGCAGGAGGGAATGCCCTCGATGATGAAGAGCCAGCGCCATCCGGCGAGGCCTTGTGCTTGGTTCATGTGGCCGATGCCATAGGCGATGGCTCCGCCAAACTGTGAACAATGTCAGTGCACGGTATGAATGAGATAACTACCATCAGACTTACAGCTCCAGCTAATGTCGCGGAGGCGAGAATAAAAGCAACTCTATCAAGGGTATATATCAGCAAAGCAGTCTCAGAGTACATGTGTAAAAATCCAGGCAACTTACCGCACACTCCGCTCATCGTGCTTATACCAAAACGTCAAGTAATACACCAGTCCCGGAAACAAACCCGCCTCAAACACACCAAGTAAGAATCTCACAGCCGTCACACTGGCAAAGCTATTCGTAGCACCCATACACATGGTAATAGTGCCCCAGCAAAACATCAAAAAGGCCAGCCACCGGCTCGGACGCAGTTTCTTGAGCAGGATATTGCTGGGGACTTCAAAGACGGCATACGCAACGAGAAAGACCATGAGGGCGACGTTGAACTGCTTGTTGCTCATGTTGGCGGTGTGTTGCAGGTCGTCGTTGGTCGACACGTTGAGGACCTTTGCATTGCCGATGTTGGAGCGGTCGAGGAAGCAGAGGAAGTAGATGCCGGCGGAGATGGGGATGATGCGAGTGTCTTGCTTCCAGAGAAGCTTCTTTTCTGCCTCTGTGATGGGGCCCTGCTGGGTTGGTGGGAGTTCCTTGGAGAGGGAGTGTTAGTTGACTTGTATCTTCTTGTCGTATGGTAGGGAGATGGAGGGATGAGTTTTTCTTACATCTTTGAGGACGGCGACATCAACGTCTATTTGCTGCGAAGCTGCCGCTTCTTCCAGCTTTGCATCCATATTGGAAGTTATCTTTTCACCGATCTTTTCAGAATATAACAAGTCGTTGTTTGTCAATGGTTCCAAGGATGAAGGCAGCGATACAGGTACTTAATCACAGCCAATTGACTGTGCCCACGCGCTTCAATCTTTCACCCTCAAGCCCAATAACTTTTGTAAAAAGACAATTCTTAGAGCACAAAAGAAGTTGTATTGACGAGATTTTTGAAAATCTTCAATGTCGCACCACCGCCCGCGGTAGGAATGCGGGGAGATCCAAGCGTCTCTGTCAAAGCTTTCGTCTAAGACGGCGTGTTCGTGCCAAGCGAACCCCATGGTTCAACTGCCGAAACAGGGACGTGGTGATAGCCGGGCGAATGAAGATTGGCCGTTTGGAAGCTGTGGTGGAGATTTTTTGAGGATCTCCAGGTTCTCTCAGCTCTCATGAATCCCTGCTCTTGCGTCTCGTGAACGGCGCTGGCAGCGTAGCGTCACATCGCGGGTTTTGGAGATGGACGTGGAGTTTGGCGGGCCAATGACGATAAGAGGCAGATGGCTGGCTGGAATTGAGGTGATTGAAGGCACTAATTCTTGAGAGAAGAGAGCGGAGTGGGAAAGGGTTGAATGGGGATTATGGGCGTTTATGTACTTGTGGTGACGTTGGTGAGGATTGCGGTATAATACCAAGCAGAGGACAGAAAACCCGAGAGAGGGAAGGCTTCGAACACCCACGCGTTCAATTATACGCCTGTTTTTTCATGTATCTTCTACTATAGCTATATTTTTTGCTAATATTCACTACTTTATCTATATTTCCTTAATGACTGCTATTATGTCTATATTTCTCTAGTAATTGCTATTGTAACTATACAGTGAAATTCGGATGCTGGCTGGACAGGCGTTCCCCTATAAAAGTACTACTAAGTTTACTCAGTGCTTCTATTGCAAAATGTATATACTTATCCACTTTACGGTCTTGCTTTTCTGGCCTCTGGCTTTCTGGCTTTAAATACATACATGAGGTTATCTATGGACAATGGAGATGGGGGCGGGTAAAACAACAATATCGGCAATCGGACGGAGCTCGCCAATGTAACGCTGACCCCGGATCAGCATCAGATAAGCTAATTTCCAATGTTATTTGTTTATTTTGTCTTGCCAAGCATATCTCGTATAATCTGACGGCTTGATGCAGGAGGGAAGAGATAACCTATATGCAACAACTCACGGCAGCAGTATAACTACCTACTCCGTACTTACAACGATTATATCAGCAGAGCTGTCTGATTTATGGAGATAACTACATGTACATAATTTACACCTGGGCATATGTCTCGGTGACTGGAGTGATGCTCATTACTCTTGCTTCTATCGTTGGTTGTCATTTCACAACAAAGTTGTAAATCGGAAGAGACCGTTAAAAAGAGGCATCGTGATATGCCAGTCCTCTAATCGACTACATTCTATCCTATACCGCCTATTCAAGTCTAGATAAACCTTTTCCAAGATGCGAAACCAAAATTGTTCCATCGTTCATCAATTTGGCGGCTTTCAAAATACAGTTCCGGGTAAGAGCTTGGCATTGGGATCAGATATCATCAAGTCATCACCAGCCGTGAGGTAAACGGGCCTTCCTGCACAACAAATCCAATAGGTAAGTTGATAATGGCTAAACGATATCAGTGAACACTAAATTGATTTGAAAATGTATGTCTAAATTGATGGTGTGCACACTTCTATTCATGCTCTTGCAGATGTGTCATTCTCTCATCTCCTCATTCACCAACACACATGCACTCATTCACTGCCAAGTACATGCATCCTCACATTCATGCTACAAAGTAACAGACACAAAGACTCCATCCCCGACATCCGCCGGCCGGCTTCTGTAAAGCTCTCGTCGGTCACTCTGCGTCACAAATGTCTCGGGATCTGCCTTTTCCTTTGGTGGCATCGTTCTTGGCGGCGAATTTTGTGGGCCATTTTAAAGTAGCTCGGCGCCTTGAAATGAAAGCCGAGCGGGCGAAGCCGCGATGCCCGCGACGCGGATACTAGCAAAAGTTGTAGAGGGGAACAATGACTGGACTTCATTTCCGATGATGTGCGTGCGTGCTAGTGAAGCGTCGCTTATTGCGGGAAAAAAATCTTCATCAAGGGCGGGAGTGGTTGGGCTCAATTGCCACCCGAGATGAGACATCGGGAGTCTGTCGGGAATCTGAGATGTCTCAGAGTGAAACATACATCCGTGTCAAAGCTTCCTGCATGTCATCATTGTTGCTGCTGCGGTGACTGTGACTGTGAATATGACTGTGAATATGACTGTGAATATGACTGTGAATATGACTGTGAATATGACTGTGAATATGACTGT